GTTTTCTGACTGTACATATATATATACACATAGATATATATATATGTGTGTGTGTGTGTGTGTGTGTGTGTGTGTTGTGTGTGTGTGTGTGTGTGTGTGTGTGTGTGTGTGTGTGTGTGTGCCTTTCCTCTGTCTTTTCATTTTTTTTCTGTCCGTTTCTGTTCTGCTTCCTACTCCTGCCTGCTCGATGTGGCCATACCATGCAAAGCCATGCACTTCTACCACGCAAATGCACTTACTATCATAATTTACGACCTAGATTAAAACCGCGAAAAGCTGGCAATCTATTGACCAATCACAGTATAGTCATCATGTCATTATATCATCAAACATCACTTAGAAAATAAGTAATAGTCCATGAATAGAATATGTAAGTAAGTTACTGCATGCACAAAATCAGGGTTAATAAGCCACTACAGAGAGCAAGGGTGGGTCTGCTTAAGCGAGAATAAAATTGCAATGACAGAGACGAAAGCAGGTATACAATTTCGTACCAAAAAATCAACTACGAAGAATTAAAATGGGTACTAACATTGTCAAGGAACAGTTAATATTAAGAGTATGAATGGTAAAGGTGGTACAAAAATGGACTGTTTTGGTATAGTGATAGTTTTACATTTACAAAAGGTATGCTGAGGGTGGAATCTTCGTTAAAGTGGACTATAGAATGTAAACAAGGTAGGTGGCCATGGCTGTTATAGATGTTATGATTATTATTGCTTATTATTCTGTTGGCATCAATATCATATGTATTACCATAATAAAGAGAATATCAATGAAGATATATGAATAATTCATATCAGAAATGAAGATGAGGTTATCATTGGGAACGCAATTACAAAACAACTTGTAATAGTAATGATAATGGTAATAGAATAATAATAACAATGATAATAATAATTATTATTATTATTATCATTATTGTTATTATTAATATTATTATTATTATTATTATTATTATTATTATTATTATTATTATTATTGTTGTTGTTGTTGTTATTATTATTATTATTATTATTATTATTATTATTATTATTATTATTATTATTATTATTATTATTATTATTATTATCATTATAATGATAATGATAATAATGATAATCATAATAATAATGATAATCATAATAATAATGATAATCATAATGATAATATAATAATAATGATAATCATAATGATAATGATAATCATGATAAGGATAATAACAATAATAATGATAATGTAATAATGATAATCATAATAATAATGATAATCATAATAATAATGATAATGATAATGATAATGATATAATAACAATCATAATGATAATGATAATCATGATAATGATAATGATAATAGTAAAAATAAACAATTGATAATAATATTGATAATAATGATAATAATGATAATGATAATAATATTGATAATAATGATAATAATGATAATGATAATAATAATCACGATTATAATGATAATTATAATGATAATAATGAGAATGATATCAATGAGGATGATAATGATAATGATAATGATAATAGTAACAATAATAGTAATGATAATGATAGTAATAATAGTAATAATAATAATAATAATAATAATAATAATAATAATAATAATAATAAATAATAATAATGACAATAATAATAATAATAATGATAATAACAATAATAATAATAACTAATAATAATGATAATGATAAAAAAATTATAGCAATAATAATAATAATATTGATAACGATAATGATAACAAATAATAACAATAATAGAAAGATATTAGTATAAATGATAATGGTAATAATAATGATAAGAACAACCATAATTATGATAGTTATAATAATGATAATGATTATAACAATAATAATAGTATTAGTTATAATAAAATTGATAATGATGATGATGATGATAATAATAATAACAATAATAATAATAGTAATAATATCAATGAAAATAATAAGGATGATGATGATGATAATAATAATGATGATAACAATATTAATAATAACAAAAATAATGATAATGATAATAATGATGAGAATAGTAGCGATGATAATAATAAAACTGCTACTACTAATGATAATAAAAATAATAAAATGATAATAATTATAACAACAATAATAACAATAATGATGATGATGGTGAAGACGATAATGATAATAAGGATAACATTAATAACATTTAAAAAATAATACTGAAAATAATAGAAATAATAATAATAACAATCATAATGATGATAACAATTATAGAATAATAACAATAACAACAACAATAAGGATAATAATAATAATGATGATGATACTACTACTATTGCTACTGCTAATAATGATAATAATAATAATAATAACAATAATAATAAAAAAATAAAATAATAATAATGATAATAATAATAATAATAATAATAATAATAATAATAATAATAATAATAATAATAATAATAATAATAATAATAATAATAATAATAATAATAATAATAATAATAAATAAATAATAATAATAATAATAATAACGATAATAATAAGAAGAATGAT